TCATATCTCTTCATTATATAAACCACAACCTCGGTGTGTCGATTTGTTTGTATTTTTGTCTGTCTATCCGCAAAATGAAGTGTTTTAAAGGCATGCCCCAGGATCGCACTGGTGTGGCTCTTGCACACGAATGTGAATGTATTGGTGCCAAGTGGGCCGGCAAAGGAAAAGAATCCGTCGAAAACGCTCAGGTTGAGGGCTCACTCACCTTCCTAATCGGCTGTGCTAAGGAATGAGAGACTAAGCGCGGAGAGGAGAGTATGGGGCGAGAGAGCGCTACAGATGAGAGAGCGCCAGACAACAGCCTGATAAGAGAAAACTGCAGCTTGAGCAGCTTACTTTGCAAGGCCCAAGCGCTCTTGTCGGTCGGTTCCGTGCACGTGAACGCCACATTTGTGATTGTCCCTAGGGTTCTATACTTCTGACCGAAGAGAAGAGTTCACACGACCTCTGCCTGGGTTGTGCCTTTAAGGCAGCTAATGGAATGAACAGGCCGCCAACAAATCTGGGTAGCTCGCAGGACTGATCTATCAATGTTTTGCAATGGCATGATTGTGATAACACCCCAACGGCTATATAAACACCTACTTAGCACACTTCCGGTCATTCACAAGGTGCTGCAGTGGCAGCTAGGAGAGGATTGGGAAAGGAGAAGAGGATAAGGCAAACAGGAGCAACGCCAAACTTACAGGGGACGGAGGTTCCGGCGATTGCCAGGGGACTAATCTGGTAATGTCTTAATTAGCTATAAAAATGGGGCTTATAAAGCCTCTTCCAACAGTTGTTAACAACTGTTCTGCATTATACAGTTGCCAACGCACTACCTACCGTTTTATATCTGAGCCCCACAACCCCTACGTTGCTGAAGTGAATGTGGCAAGTGGCGCCCCGTAGAGGTGCGCCTTTTGTCGTGTGCGGCGGCAGGTAGTCGAGTTAATCAAAAATATTGCTCAGCCCCGGTAATCAGTTATAATGAACTCAGCTCAACCCCTTTTCTTTCCACTTCTTAGAGAAGCCGATTCCTGGCCAGCAATTGTCCTTTGGTTATGCAAAAACGTCCATACCAATGGTGGAACTTCTGGACAGGTACGATGTGGACTAGCAGTGCAAGCTCAGGGGGCGCTATGATAGGAGTACGCCCTTCAGTAGTTGACCACCAAGGGTTCATCGCGCGTCATCCCGTCCACTGCTCAGAGCAAGGCAGTGATTAAGTAATAGATAACAAAACAAACCTTCTTGTTTCTGGAGCTAATAACGAAACACGTTATAATTAGTGCAGCCAGTACTGATACAGAAGCATATACAATCATAAAACCAGGTGAAGTATAAGCTGAAATTGATCACATCAAGTTTCGATGCAAATGAAACGACCTGAATATGACGAAGTATTGAATTTCTCAAACTCAAAAGCCGATCGAGGAGTTCGAAATGACATCACTTCACATCACATCTACCTTGCTGGATTCAACAAGAACAGGTACAACTTGATGGCTAGAATCGACTTGCGTTTGTGGGTGTAGTGAACGAAATGAACCACTTCTCTGCTCAGACAAACAAGTGCCCCATTATCAGTCGGGGTCGTACGAGTTTGTTAACAATTATCAACAAAAGTCGAGTGAGGCGTATCTCGGCAATAATTTTTCCGTTCTGCGAGTGCGAAGGCTGGAAGGAGAAACTAATACAAACACGCTCATGCCTATGACGTCACCTGAATATCAGTACCGCCTCCCGCCATTGTGCTCATTAACTTTGAACGACCCAGAAGGGATACAACGCCTCACTGGTTTGGACAGAGACCAGGCTTTGGCTTCAAATCACTATACTACTTGATCTAATCGTTAATCAGGAAATTTGTCTCACAGTAGCATCTCTCTTTTGACTTTACAAACTCATTAGCATCATTCACAAATGTCACGTTCACTGCATACGTATAGCAACGGGTGTCGAATGTGAAACCAGGCGAAAGCTGAAAACAGCGAAGCAAATTAGAATGAACACGACAAAATAGTTGCAACTCAAATTGTCATGATAGAACTGGTGGTTTGATCGGTCTCGAAAGCAAATTCCGCACTTGCCATGAGGGCACAAACTCCAGCGCGCTGAGAGGTGCGGTCCAAGTTTTCGCAACGCTTCCCAACCAATTTCAATACTTCTGAATTGGTCCTTCGTGAGCGAAAATCCTAATAGGCGCATAATGATTTACATACTGCAAGATGATCAATAGAAACTTATCATGTTCTACTGAAATTCCATCTATTCATGATGTACTGCAGGTTAAGACGTCGAATAGACGCACGACCACATCACTTTATGGGGATACGTTTGGTAATATCTATGAATTGATTTGTTTCTTGGTAACCCTTAAGCCTTCATCTTAAGAAGAGGGCAGATCAATTTCACTGGTTGCACTGTTGCATCACGTTTTGTAGAGGGGCTTTAGTCAAAAATGACCCCTCCTAGGAATAGCCTGCGGGTTTACTCAACTTCGTTGGCTGTGGGAGAGGGACCTTAGTCAGCCTGACCCTTTCACACCTCGCTGTCGTTACTTCGCACCTTCCACCACTTGCCTACGAAAGGACCTTGCCTAATTGAATGCGTGACTGTTGACATAAATCCAATCATCTCAATCGGTAAACTGATAACGTTGAATGCACACAGTGAAACCCTTATTTTTCAACAGTGGCATTGGAAAATCAGTAACGTTTGAGTCGAATTAATATGTTCGGATACATTCCGGTACCAACTGTAATTAAATTAAACTCAACCAGTATAATGCCCTAAATGCAAGATCACAGCGTTGCCCCAATCTTTCACAACACTTCTTCTCATCAACTGCTCTTCCCAAAAGCTGTCCCAATTCTGGACCAGGAATGGTACGAGTCGAAAGCGCTAATGACAGTGACTGCTTCCCAGTTTTGCGACATTTCCCTTTTACCGATGAGCTGCAGGATTTAAATCAATCTATCGAGAAAATCTTACGGTTGATATGATTATAGGATCTGGGCTTTGAAGCAACAGTCCACGCAAGGTCTGCTACTTTCAATACTATTACGATTGAAAGGAGGCACTAGCCTTGATGGAGAACATATGAAGTGGGAATATTAACAGAACTCACCTCGGAAAGCGCAAAAAGGGCGTAAACTCCTCAAAATGGGTGTGGTTGGAAATTCCCCGGGACCGCCCACTTGCCAGCCGTGATTGGCTGCGGAGGCATTCGTGCTCGTTTTGGGACCACAGGGAGTATTTGAACTCTGTCCTTTAAAGCAATCAATGTGGTGACGCTGCTTGTAATGGAACTCTTTCCTTTTTTGAAATGTTCTTCTCATGTCAACCCTTTTTGACTTCATATGCTTCGTCGTATCAGCTATTTCTTCCTTTATCATTGCCATTATTTATTATCACTTCATTATAAACCAGAACTTTGGTGTGTCGGTTTGTCGGTGTGTGTGTGTCGTTCTGTCCGTCCGGACCAACCGCTCACAAAACCAGGGAGTACGAAGGGCAACACTTCGTGATGTTGATGTCATGATCATGATAACACCCACAGCGGCTATATAAACACCGATCAGTCTCATTCTACATGGTGCTGCCGTGGCAGCCGGATGAGCGGGGGGAGGGGGGGAGGAGGGTAGAGGGAAGAGGGAAGGGGGCAAGAAAGGGGAGGCTGGAAGGGAGGGAGAGAGAGAAAGAGGGAGGGAAGGGGGAGAGGAGAAAGGGAGGGAGAACATGGCGCTGTCATGCGCCGGAGAGGAGGGTATAAGGAGGGGGTGGGGAGGAGAGACTGAGAGAGAACGACCGTTTTTAAGAGTAAGGTCTATATTCATGTTGACGTATTATTCTAACCTGATGTGGTGATTGTGATAACACCCACAATGGCTACAAAAACACCAAACGGGCACATGCAGCCTCATTCTACATGGTGCTGGTTATTATTATCACCAGTTTAGCTCGCTACTTACGCTACTGCGCGCATGACAGGAAAGGCTTTGCTAGAACTAACACCTGGTGGAGCTCAGATTTCACGCTAACAATAGCTGCTTCTTAAATGCGTTGGCTGTCCGTTGCATAGGCGGCCCATTTGGTTGGAACTTACAGTTAGATAAGCGCAGTGAAGTGCGGAGCTAAAATGATGTGTAATCCTTTGTGGACCGCCTGACACCCATGGGGTGTCAGGGCTGATTTTTCCAAGGATTCGGTTTTTCGATAAAATGTTTTATGTTGTTACATATCTATGTAACATACTCATGTCGTACGTATGGAAAAACCTAGTCTTGGATCTCAAACTAGTTCTAAAATAACCAAAAATTAAATGGATTCCACTTCGAGCTAAGGAAAAACAGTTATAAATCATTTGAAAACACTTCATACAACAGAATTTATGCCATCACGTGCACGTCGTATCTGATGCTATTGCATCAAACGTTTCGGACATTTCTGGTCCCTTTTTCCTAGGTTACAACTTATTTTGAACAATTTTCATTCCTGCCTCCCTTTTTATGGCCCTATCATGTTTTTATGCAACAGTTTTAGTCAAATTCACCACATAGATACCTTTAGACATGACAAATACAAAAACGGTATAAAATAATGGCGTTGATGAAAACACTGGTCAAAGATATTATACGAGATTAGTCCCCCGTCAACCGCCGGGACCTTCCTTTCCTGCGCAAGCTTTCTATCCTCCGCTATGGTCCCTTCCTCCTGTGACACCAACACCTCGTGGAAGTGACGCGTATGCAACACAATGGTGTTTCATACAGTAGAAGGGACACAATCATGATATGACGGTAGATTTTTCGCCCCCTCCCCATCCTCCTCTCTCCACTGCCCTCCAGCTGCCACTGCAGCACCATGTGGAATGAACGGAAGTGTGCTAAGCAGGTGTTTATATAGCCCTAAGAGTGTTATCACAACTATCCTGCTACAAAACATTGATATCTCAGGAAGCTACCCGATTTGTTAGCGGTGTTTACTCCTTCTCACTCACTTCATTTTGCGGACGGACAGACATACATACATACATACATACATACATACATACAGACACACATACATACAAACCGACACACCAAGTTAGCGGTTTATATAGGATTTATATACGTCGCTGCACGTGGCGATAAGCATAAAAAGGCGTCGGCCACACGCGCCTGCCACGGCAAAAGTGCGCGGTCCGGAAAGGGGTAAACAACCACCATGCATCGAGTATCAGGATAATTTAGCGGTCGAATAATATTTGATGATATCAAAACGGAATGCCCAGTATTCATTATCATATTTATTCGAGCATCCCATTCATCCTCAAGAACTCTGGAAGGTGTAGCGGTCGAAAGGTGTTTGAGTTTACAATTACAACGCTGATGAAATGATATTGATGCGTTATCTAGAATCTGGTTCAAGTGAGCTCTACGTTCGTACACATATCGTTACTATCAGTCTTTATCAGTCGTTCTCACTTTCTGACCCCCATCAAATATGTCCCCCACCTTCTATTATACTTGAAATACAGCGCTCCATGGCTGCCTCACTGCTGCTGGGACGTGCGCTATAAATTTCATAAAATTTGCGTTTCAGCGCCTCTTATCTGCTCTTATCAGTCGTTATCACTTTCTGACCCCCACCAAATATGTTCCCGTCCCACCCCCTATATCATATCAAAGAATCAACTCCTGACGACTGCTGCGACGCGTGCTATGAATTTGACACACACAAACAGACATAGCGCTTTATATATAGCAGGGATCATGGAGCCAATCAATTATTCATTACCGGACGATTCATGTCTAATCACGTCAAAGGGTTAGATGTCATACAACCACTGGCTATGGTCTTGTGACATCTAATCCTTTTGCTCCTCTGCGTCTCCCTCACAAGGCCAGACACCAGACACTAAGGCCCAAACTTTTGCCACAGGTTAAGTGGCTCACACACCCCCACCCCCCTGAATTGGCCCCATTCCCCCTGGCTCACGCATTCTTACTTACTACCAGGTTCCCTCCACACCAAAAGGATTAGATGTCATACAACCCTGAATATGGAACCAGTGGCCAATGTCAGACTTTGCGATTGGAGCGATTTTGCAAATGCAGGAGCTGCGGCCGATGTCATAGTTTGCGAATCGAGCGATTCGCTAGCGAATCGCTCGATTCGCAAACTATGACATCGG